GACTGGTAGTAGAATTTTCTCACAATGATATGAGTAGAGCTGACGTTTCCATTGAATTTCACATTGCCTTGATTTCACAAGAGTTCTTCTGATCCAGGGTGAACTGTAGCTTCGGCCTCGCATAGGACATTCGTGACAATGTGGTCAAGTGTTTAACGTGTGAAAATCACAGTCTGCACTGTCGCGGTTCGAATCCTGCTGGGGGTGTTGATAAAACCAATTCAAGTTCGAACCTACAGACCATTCTAGATGAAAACAACTTATGGGAAAGCAAAGCTATGTGAAATTCATTGGAAACGCCAGCTATACTCATATCACTGCGGAAAAATTCTACTACCAGTCCTTCATCACCTTTAACGAAATAGGGTGAATACATCTCATATTACGGATTTACTGGAAGTCTCGAAACTCTACTCACATACAAAAAAATGATAAAATAGAGTCTCATAGTCTTCTTTCACTACAGTTAACTTGAGACTTTTACAAGAATGGGTTCCAGCTTACATGATGCCCATCCTATGATTGACGAAAGCTCAGCCCATTTTCACCTGAAAAGAAAGAGGTATGAAATGTGGTATGAAAGCCAAACGGCTGCAGTACGACGGGATTCAGCCGTCCTCGTCCACTGAGGTCAACATACGAATATCTTCTTCATTCGCTTTTATACGAAATGAATTTCTCTTCAACATAGTCATAGTAAGTATGAGTAGGGTTCGAATGAATTAGTATATCTAGAAGGGAAAAATATTTCGGGAAGTAAGGTAAAGTGACGTACAAAGGTACTACGACGCCTACTCATATAGTTGTGAGAACAACTACACTATCAGTACTTCAAACCCTTTAAAGACCTAAATTCATCAGGTTCTTAGTCAAGAATGCTCAACATTCTTGGTTTAGATGAACCTCTTGAGATAACATTGTTAGGGGGACTTTCTTTTCGTTGACTGTATCAACATGAATATCGTATCAAAGCCAAACGGCTGCAGTACAACGAGATTCATCCGTCCTCATCTGGTGAGGTCGACCAACGAATTTCTTCTTCATTCACTTTCATACGAAATGACAGTCCCCTTAATAACATTCTTGAAGCAAACTGTCAACTAATATAAGTGCTTTTATGTAATAACTAATCACGGCTAACGTCATCATACCACCCACCTCATCTAATCTAAATAAGTTGATGGTAGATTGTCGGTTAAACTTTAAAACATTGATTTCTCTCATTTTTGTCGCCTTGATCATTTTAATTTCAGACTTTTTTAAAAAAAAGAGAACAAATCTAAGAAATAGCATTCGGCCAAGTTGAATAATGGGCAAGACTTGGCAGAAAGTTTTGTCAAATCGTGTTAACCTAACCGCGAAGAAGGTGATGAAATAGCTTTGGGCTTAAGAACAGAAGGCCACAGCAACTAAAGCGTCATTAGGGCATCATGTTTGCTTGAGCAATGTGAGGAAAAGAAGACGATTTTCAAAGGGTTTCTGGCCTTTTACAGGACTCACAAATACTCGAACTTTGAGGCAGAACCTGCAAAAGTTTATCATCCTTCGTCACCCGCGAGTAGGTCACATCCTCCGCCAGCCTACAGGTCACGGCATAGTCAACCGTCTCCAAGACGCTATATGGACGGCCAACAATAATGCCACATGAGACGTCCACCACCTTTTGCCGCACACGCAACAGCATCTGTAGCCTGACAACGTCCGATGCCAAGGCGACGGTTAAATTGACCGTTACGTCGATCTTCTCAGTGTACGTGTGCTCCAGCCAAGTGTCTTTGGGAAATTCGGAGGGCCCAGACTCACTTCCGTCTCCCCAGGCCACCATGACGACAGTGCCTGCGGGGACGGGTTCTTGGGAGACTCGAACTGGCCGGAGTCGAAATACTTCCTTGAGTGCTGCATAGAATACGCCAGCATTGCCACCTCCATGCTCGGTTTCCAGAGCATACTTCTTGAATGAATCTTCCACGTGGACTTTTCTAGTCGCCTGTGCGACAGAGCCGCCGGATGAGGCTGTGGCAACAATCTCAAAATCACCAGGCTTGGTGTAGATGTGCTTCCGAATGAGGTCTTCTGGTGCCGGACTCGTGAGTGGTTTGCCCATGTACTGCTCCTCAGAGCTGTTGTCACCAAAGTTGAACCGGAAATAAACCGAACTTCCTGCCGCCAGAGAAAGAGTTAATGTGGCCACCTGACCCACTGCAATAGTTGAGCTTGAAAAAAGAAATTGAAAACTTCACCTGTTGCTATAGCGATCATAAGACTTTGTGATTTATACAAATGCAATGCCCAATCATTCACATGATAAAATTCATCCCGTTTTTAGAGGAGGCCGGCAACACTGGTCGGGTCTTGTAATAATAAGAAGAAAAGCTGGGCTATGAAGAATGGGAGTCTATTATTAATTTCAAAGGTAAAACCGAAAAATGAAGCACAATCTTTGCATAATCAAAAGCTAGTTTATTATTTTAAATAAATAACCCTGGCCACATCCACATACACTTTACGCCTCATCTTCATCATCGACTTCGTTGTATGCCCAGTTAAGACCAAAATATTTGGTCACATGCACAAATTGTCACTTCAAAGAAATAGTTACTTCGGAGCAATTCATGAATCGGTCTTCTGAAACCAAAGTGGAATTGTTCGGCGACCCCGAGCAACTCGCACTAAGCCATCGTCTTTCTGTTTCCGGGTGGATGTATTTAAGCATTTCTTCTAACCAACTTCTGTTTTGAAATCAAAATTCGTCAGCGTGTGAAGTATTCTGGCTTTGACGAAGTATGCTGCAATGAGGCAAAAGAAGTATCCACAGCTGGGCTGAGAAAGTCTCCTTACCTGCAAATAGTCTACACTCCAGAACAATCCTCCTTCGCTTTCCGGTGAGCACATTTCACCAATTGATTCTGGCCAACTTGTACTGCCGATGGAATTACTGAATCACATTTTCGGTTAAAAACACTGGTCAGTCCATAATGGGCTCCAAGAAACTGCATCGCGTGACTTAAACTATCTTTGAAGAAAATGTATCACTTTGTCAGATGGACGCAAAAATCTTCACTCATCGGGTGCCTTTAGAAATAAGGAATATAAATAAAATGAATTTAGTTTAAAAGAACACTATCTCGGATGGGGCTTTTTGAATTGTGACATGAAAATAACTTGGTTGCATTGCCTTCATTCAAGTCTCATACTTTTATGGACTTCGATGGAGACTGCCGATTTCATCCGCTCCGTCAAAGGGGAAGAAACGGATATATTTCGCAGCCGCTGCCAGTTCTGCTTGAAGAAGCAATCTACAGAGTCACGAGGCGACGATTGCAGTTGACTCAAAAGCTTAATTAACTTGACGTCTCTGCGGATGAAGAGACATTGCCAAAAGTCACATTGCCAGTGCGATAGCATGCTTTGGAAAGCATTTATGCAAATAAAGTACTCTATGAGATATGCGCTTCGTATTTCGTTTAGGGTGATGAAAAACCTACCTCGAAAACCTACTTAAAAAGAAAAATAAATAAATAAATGAGAAGCCAATTGCAGGAAGTAGGAATCGGCAAACCCACAAACTATTGGCTGAGAGACCCTTTGGGGCAGGTTGGACTATGCGTTTCTCTAGCTTATGCAGAAGCCAACCTAAACCCAACATTTGGGCATTTTTGGTGCCGGCGCCCTCTCTATCATATTGTCCTCTTTGATATCTTAGGTCCTAGATGCATCGTATTCACAACCTTTATCCCCTCAGGGCCGGACTGTTTTCCGGGTTCCCCAAAATTTAATATAAGTTTGTGTGTGAAAAAATATAACTCCTCCTTTATTTAGATTATTCGCCCCATTTCTCCTCGAAGTTACATATTGAGGCCAGAATTGGAATGAATATGCTTTTTAAACTATCGGTAATTTTCTAATTGGGACTCAATCTTACGTCGCTTAAGGTAATTTAAGGAGTGATCGTTGCATTTTTCCCTCATTTCACTTGCATTACTTTCATCCTAGCCTCCCAAAATGTTATCTCACTCGGAGTGGGCTGCAATTTAGAACTTCATCTACAGCCCCAACTGGATTAGATGGGTTAACACTCAGATGGATTGCTGAGTGCGGATTCGGATATCTCCCAGTTCACATTTTTAGGGAATGAAAACTTATATATGCCAGTACAATCGACGACTTTTGGTGTGAGTATATCTCTGAGTAGTCTTTCTGTAATTTCTGAATAGTCACTTGGTCATACTTTCACCGAGATTGATCATTGTCATCAATTCCAATAGCATATATAATTTTGCCTCAGCGCTTATCCTATTGCTAAGGTAATTTTGAAAAAGCTCAGATCCCCTTGAAAGTCTGCAGCTGCCCCAAGATCAACCAACACTCGTGACTCTATATGGAAGTGGTTGTGGGTTGCCACGATGCTCACAAGTTAGTTTCGAATCCCGTTAGGGTTGGTGATCAAAATTGATGTCCACCCTGATGTGAAAAGTCTTTGGGATTTTAGGCCAACCTATACTATTGTGAGAAAATCTAGACTATCGGTCACCCTAAGCGACCGTATGAAGGTTGGAACGTCTGCTGCTCTTCGAATAGTGTTGGAATGCATCCTCTCTTATACACTCTCAAGAGACTGCATCATTATGGAACCGGCAGTCGCGACTAATTAGGTCTCCTTCTCAGCCAACCCACCTCGGAATCACACTCAGGCTCAGATCCTTTGCTGGGTCATCAAATGCTATATTCTCTGTGATGCTCTCCGTGTTCCCGAATGCATCCTGCACACTGCACACCAGATTGGAACGGACGGGCAGCAGTTTAGTCAGGCTCTCGGAGGTGATACTCTTGACTGTGTAGTCTATTACGGTTGACAAGACGACGCCTTCTAGCATCAAGTCAACTTTGAGGGAACCGGTGATTTCAAAGTAGATGACAAGGCGTACAGGTTGACCCGTGGGCAGATTTGGTGTACCGATTCGAAGTTCTAGAAATGAAGAGTGGGGCCGAATGAGGAAAATCTCATGATGGTACAAAAGCATCTGCAATTGACTTAGAATGCATGCATACATTGAAAAATAAAACGTTTTCGCAAATTATCCCGAATGGAAATAATCGCAATAGCCTCTTAATAATTCAACTAGTCAATGATGTATATGATGTACAAACCATGAAATAATTAATCTGCACCTTTCTCTCATATTTAAGGAAATTTGCAGATTTTGTGCCATCTTCATAGACATGGGAGCAGAAATAATGATGCCTTTCTCCTTAGCCAGGCGTCCGCAACGCAGCTCTCTTGCAACTTGGTTACGAAGCCAAGTCAACTTAATCCTGCCTAGTCGAAAGTTGTGATAATCCACCCGATGAATGCCTTATTTTTAGTACTTTTCAACCGACTGACGGGGATAGGAAAGATGCTAGTACGAAC